TGATTCTAAATTTTAGTCTGTTTCTCATTATTCTAATGAAAACGTTTGGGCAGAGTGCCGTCTTAATCTTGCTTAAGTAAGCGGAAGATTATGAAAGGCTAAGCTAAGCTGTCACCATCCCTTCGACGCCACACCAATTCCATTCACTTTGTGGAAATTAAGTTACGTCATTTTATAGATTAAGTCTAAAATTTTTATCATTAAATGACGTGCTAATCATATCAATGGCACTCCTTAATTAGTTTATCCAAAATTTTCAAATAATGCCTACTGCTACTTGACTGTGTAATTATTTAGTACACCTTTTTTGGGTCATTCTCATTGGATTGCCTGAATAGACCATTTGTATGCTACGCTTTCTTAATTATTACAAAAATATAATAACTTTAAAAAATAATGATAGCAATAATTCAACACATCAAGTGAAATTTAATTGAGATTAATTAATATTTGACTTTTTTTTAGCACATCAGAATTTAAAGGTTTAGTATGGGTAAATGTTTTTTTTTTTTTTGGTCCTCAGTATGAATAAAGGTTTAAATTTATAATTTTGATACTAAATTAAGCTTTTATATTAATAAGTATTAGTTTTACCAAGTTCAATTATTATATATATGGAGATTGATTAGTTTATTAGAGACTAATGACCTATTAGTCCGAATGGAAGGAATTCGACTTCCCTTAAGCAATGATCAAGTTCGACTCTTGTGAATGAAGAAATAAATATTGAGAGAGTTTTTCTTTAATGGGATCCGACGTAACTTGATTTCAAATTAGTCGGGATCCAATGTAATTACCAGATACTGAGAGGTTAATACCAAAAATAAAAAAATTAGTCTATTAGAAAATTAAATTGCTAAATGTATAATTCTTGGGAATGCATGGATGAGTATGGATGCTTTGAGAGATTCTTTAAAATGAAAGGTATTTCTGCACCCTAGGCTATTATTCTTTTTGTTTCATAATAATACATTTTTTTACTTAAAATTTGTTTAACATTAATAGTTACTT